GATAGATAGATAGATAGATAGATAGATAGATAGATAGATAGATAGATGATAGATAGATAGAGATAGAGACATACAGGCATGTGTATATGCATTATATATATTCATATAACACTTATTATATTAAATATTTATTGCATAATGTATTTAAAACACTATGGTGATGCTTTATTTATTTTATTATGTCTTTTAATTGCTATTAAAACTATTCTCTGTAATTTTAATATTCTTTATTAATTTTAATGTTCTTTAAGTTTTTCTTAGAAAAACTTGATTTTCAAAACAAAATGCCATTGTTTTCAAACAGATGAAGTGAGATTGCATAATGGAAGAAAAATTTAACCCCCAAATTGAAATAAATCATTAGTGTTAGTGTTTGGGGATAAACCCCCAAGCAGAGTATGCAGCAGCAGTCAAGCCAGGCTGGCAAATGAGAGAGAGAGTGGGCCCAAGAGTATATACACACTGGAGACAAAAACACTGTTTGTGGTTTTAAAATAGTTATTTAATACACACAGAGATTAAGAAGTGTCATTCAGTCCATATATCATTATCCAGTATATCCATCCAGTTATCAAGTCCATTAACAGTAAATACAATGTCTTTATCTGCTTGTAAATCTTCTCCTCCCGATACCTTTCTCTCAAAGACAACGCTGAGTAAACAGCTCACCAAATAAACAGTCCAAAAGGTATCTGGCACAGTAGGCTCCAAGAGTAAGCAGATAGACGTTCCAGCAGGCAGCAGACCAGGAACAGAACCAGGTGCATCCAGAAGCCGGGTCTATTACGTTTCCCTTCCTACCTTTATTACTGCCTGCAACCGCACCCACAATGACATTGCAGTTTCGTGTGCTTAAAGCTACAAGACACTTAATCCTAGGTTTACATATTTATTCAACCCAAACCTGGTTGGTGTATCCATATACCCAACAATTAGTGCTTCAAGATAAGGGCAGAGATCCTGGCGATGTGACCAAATATATTTTGTTGCATGAGAGTAGAAAATCCTCAGCCTCTCTCTCCTTTCAATATTCATTCCCAACAACCTACTGTCCTTCCATGTATACGTGAACTGTCAATATTCCCAGGCAGACCAGACAGGAAACACGATCAGATGTGCTAATACTTCCTTAGTGTAAGATTACTTTCAAAGATTCAAATCCTTGCAATTCAGAAAATACAAAACTTCCGCCATCTCCTTTACAGCCTCTGAAAGACTGTAAAGACAAAAAAGTCATTTTCTCTGTCCATTATGCAGCTGTGGGCCATGCACCCGCTTCTGTTGTTCCCTCTGCAAAATGTACCACCTAACTTTCTCAGGCTGGAGTAGTTTTGGATAATCATAGCCCCATTGGTGGTATTCAGCCAGATTGCACCGGTTCAGGCGAACCAGTAGCAAGGATTTGGCGTGGGTCACCAAACCGGTAGTAAGTTGTGGTTGGCCACACCCCCAACCCAGTTGCCCGATAACTGCTGGCTTGCTTTCCCTACCCACCCGATGCTTGCTCACCCTACCCACCTGACACTCACCCCTTAAGGTATTTCTTTTTTTTTTCCCCTCTCAACAATCAGCTGTTCATAAGATCAGCTGTCCTGGGATTCCTGTAGCTTGTCTTACTGGATTCCCTGAGGCTCAGAAAGGCAAAAAAAACAGAGGAAGGGGCACAGCCTCCCCTCTCCACTTTTTGCCTTCCTGAGCCCCAGGGGAGCCTTCTGCCAGCAAGAACACCCCCCCAGGAGGCTCCCCTGCGACCCAGAAGGCCCCAAAAAGGAGTAAGAGGGATGCTGCGCGCCCTCTCCAGGCTCCATTTTTTTCTACCTGAGCCCCAGGAAAGCTTCCTGGGAGCAAAAATGCCCCCCAGGAGGCTTGCCTGAGACCCAGAAGGCCCAAAAACTGGGTGGGGGGTGGCTGCAAAAAAGCCCCCCAAAAGCCATGCTCACTCAGTCACATGGCCACACCCACCTAGCAATGCCCACCAAGCCACGCCCACAGAACCAGTAGTAAAAAGTTTTGAATCCCACCACTTATTAGCCCTTTAATTGGTCATTGGTGGCAATTGATGGCAGTTGATGGCTTGGTCAATCTTGGTTCCTTTCTAAAGCAAGAGACACACTGTATTTTCATTGCTCTATGCAATAAAGACTGATAAATCTGGGTGCCCCAAGATAGGAGCTTAATTTGTGGGTTCCCAACACATGGAGGGGGAGGGTTGATGATATCATCACCCAAATGCTGTGATTTCAGATAATACAGAAAATCAGAGTTGGAAAGGACCTTGTAGGTCATCTAGTCCAACCCCCCGCCCAAGCAGGGGACCCTACACCATTTCTGACAAGTGGCAGTCCAATCTCTTCTTGAAAGTCTCAAGTGATGGCGGTCCCACAACTTCCGAGGGCAAGCTGTTCCATTGGTTGATTGTTCTCCCTGTCAGAAAGTTTCTCCTTGTTTCCAGGTTAAATCTCTCCTTGTTCAGTTTCCATACATTATTCCTTGTCTGGCCTACAGGAGCTTTAGAAAATAGCTTGACCCCTTCCTCCCTGTGGCAGCCCCTGAAATATTGGTAGACTGCTATCATGTCTCCCCTGGTCGTTCTCTTTACTAGACTAGCCAAGCCCAGTTCCTGCAACCATTCGTTGTATGTTTTAGCCTCCAGTCCCCAAATCATCTTGATTGCTCTTCTCTGTACTTTTTCTAGAGTCTCAACATCTTTTTTATAATGTGGTGACCAAAACTGGATGTAGTACTCTAGGTGTGGTCTTATTAAGGTTTTATAGAATGGTATTAGTACTTACCTTGATCTTGACTGTATCCCTCTGTTAATACAACTTAGGAATGCATTAGCTTTTTTGGCGGCGGCTGCACACTGCTGGTTCATATTTAGCTGGTTGTCCACTAAGACTCCAAGATCCCTCTCACAGTTACTGCCATTGAGCCTGGTTTCACCCAGTCTATATGTGTACTTTTGGTTTTTCTTGCCTAAGTGTAGGACTTTACTTTTCTCTATATTGAATTTCCTTTTATTAGATATGGCCCAATTTTCTAGTCTGTCAAGATCCATCTGGATCTTGAGCCTATCTTCTTGGGTGTTAGCTATTCCTGCCAGCTTAGTATCATCTGCAAATTTGGTAAGTTCCCCTTCTATTCCCCCATCTAAGTCGTTAATGAAGATATACTGGGCCTAAGACAGAACCTTGTGGCACCCCACTGCTTAATTCCCTCTATGTAGACTTAGACCCATTGAGGACTACTTGTTGATACTGGTTTGCCAGCCAGTTGCGAATCCATCTAGTGGTGGTGCTATTTATTCCATTTTTTTCTAGCTTACTAAGAAGTAGGTTGTGGTCTACTTTATCGAATGCCTTACTGAAATCTAAATATATTATATCCACAGTATTTTGCTGGTCTACTAATTTAGTCACTGTGTTGAAGAATGAAATAAGATTGGTTTGGCATGATCTGTTTTTAACAAACCTGTGCTGACTGCTAGTTATTACTTTACTTGTCTCCAGATGTTGGCAGATCTGTTTTTTAATTATCTTTTCCAGTATCTTCCTGGGTACTGATGTTAGGCTGATTGGTCTATAGTTTCCTGGGTATGTTTTTCTTTCCTTTTTTGAAGATGGGAACCACATCAGCTCTTTTCCAGTCCTCTGGTAGTTTCCTGATACTCCAGGATTTTTGAAAGATATGGTGCAATGGTTCTGAGATGACCTCTACCAGCTCCTTTAAAACTCTGGGATGTAATCCATCAGGCCCCGGTGATTTGTTTTCATCAAGATCAGACAGGTGTTCTCTTAACTATTTTTTTGCTTATTTTAACTTTTATTTCTGGTCTGTCTTTTACAGTTATGTTTTTGGTGGGTTGAGCTATAGTTTCTTTTTGCATAAAGACAGATGCAAAGAATGAGTTAAGCAGTTCTGCTTTCTCTCTGTTGCCTGTTATTTCTTCAGAGGTCAGGACACAATAAGTACAGGCAGCATTTTATGATGACAGTGAATTTGTCCTGCGTTTGATATCATAGTTTCATTGGCAAATTTCTCTGGCTTAACTGTCTCTTCCTCTTTTTCTATTAATCATTGTCCACCGTATATTATTGTATTTGCTATAAATATGTGTCTCTGTTGCATTTTGTCTGTACAGAGCAGCCTCCACTCTGAAGAAGGCCTGGGAGTTGCCTCCCTGAGTGTGATCTATGCTACTCTCATCCTGTCCTCCATGTTTCTCCCATCAGTCATCATTAAGAAATTTGGATGCAAGTGGACTATTGTCGGCTCTATGTGCTGCTATATTACATTCTCTTTGGGAAACTTCTATGCCAGCTGGTAATAAGAATTTCCTAATACCTGTGACATTTGCAATGCATTTTGTCAGACACAAAGAATCAGGACCATTCATAAGGTTGCAGCATAAAATATTTATTCAACCTGAAGTATTTGGTTAACTAAAGTTCAACAATAAATTGGCACCAGATAAGGGTTAACAGAATTCAGGAGGGGCTGGACTTGGAATGCTTGTGAGAATGCAAGGACTCCAAACTTATGACATACTTAACTCCACCCGCCCCACCCCCCACCTGCTCTGTTCCTACACATTTGGGGGGCAGATATAATTTCTGAAAGATCTAATTGAATCTAACTAAATTGAAAAATGCATAATAAATAGATGGATATTTGTTCATTAGTTGGTTTGGACTCCACTAAACATAAAACTGAAAATCACTTTAGGATTTGACAGGGGACAAGTAAATGTTTCTAATGATAGCACCAAACTGAACGTTTTCAGACTATAAACATTACTAATACTTGAGTAATCAGCAAACAACAGCTGGGAAGGGGAACGGAGGGATATCTATAGAAGAGGTGTGTGATTTTTATTGACTTGAAAATGAGAACTGAGTTTTTTATAACATGCCAAGATCTGCAAATGAACAGAGCCAAAACCCAACATTGTATGTGAGTTTTTAAAGAATGAAATTGGGGCCTTAGGCTCCCTAAGATGAAGGGAAGGTAAGAGAGAGCTTTAAAATATTTGTGATCATGCCAGACCTCAAAATGATACCAGTTTCAATCTGGATAGAGCTCATGTTGGCAATGGAAATAGGGAATGAAGCACACAGCAGTTCCTTGCTCTTGGAAAAAATAGGAGAAAAGAGAAGATCATCAGATTTGTGGTGAATACCTTTTTTTTCCTCCTATTTCTTCTGCCTCACTTAGCTTTGAGCATTTCTTCACCAACACTGAGGCCATTTTCAGATGTACTTAAAATAAGACACTGGGCGAAGAAGATATCAAATAGTCTAACTAATTTTGGGTTTGAGGGAATAGCCTTTTGGGTAGGATGTATGCCATAATTTCCATCTGTAAAACTGCAGCTGTTGCTTTAGGCCATTCTATAGATGGTTAACATGGTTTTGCTGATCTCTGGTTTGTAGTTTTGTTTTTGTCTTCATCTTTTTTTTTTAACCAGTCCACCTCTGATATATCAGTGAAGGGTTTCTCATCAAAACAAAATAGCCACTCGCATCCACTCTTTTTCATGAGCTATTAGAACATGAACAAAAAAGCAGAATAAATAAACAGATATGCTGGAGAGTGTATAGCAACTGCTTTTGTAGCTGAGGCAACCATTTACATCTCCTTTAGCAAACAAAGCCTGAGCCAAGTGAAACCAACCAGAAGCCACCATCTAACGACTGGAGTTATAATTACATTTCAAAAGGAAAGGATAGGAAAAGAGAAGTTTAGCTAATGTTTGATCCACCTGGTACGACTTCAGCAACAGAGTGGTCAATGCCTGGAATGCACTACCTGACTCTGTTGTTACATTCTCTAATCCCCACTCCTTTAACCTCAATCTAACCACTATTGACCTCACCCCATTCCTAAGAGCTCTGTAAGGGGCGTGCATAAGGGCACCATCGTGCCTCCCGTCCCTGTCCTATTGTCCCCATTTATGTGCACCTATTTCCTGTATTCTTACTCATGTTTATACTTATATCTATTATCTTGTAAGCAATTGACAAATCAAATAAATAAATAAAATGATGTCTCATAGAATCATAGGGCCCGTATACTATCCCAAGCAAATGGTTGTCCAATCTTTTCTTGAACACTTCCAGCAATTAAGCATCCTGGAGATTCCTTGAATCTCCATCAAAGTTGGCTAGATTAACAGTGAAAATCTGGGATGAGACACCCCCCCCAATATAGTCAGAGGGCCCTAGCCTGGGGAGTGCTAGGTAACCCATGTACTTTAATTTCTACCAATCTCTAGCGTGTATAGATGAATCATGAGTATCACATGTTAAAAAACATGGTACCTTTACACAGCTATAAATAAGTTGTACTTCAACTGTTAAACTTTCTAAATGTTATTTCTTCTGATATCATGAGGGCTTATTTTATGTGTTCTTAAACATAGTCCTTGACTTACAACCATTCATTTGATGATTGTTCAAAGGTATGACAGCGTTGAAAAAAGTAACTTGCAACCAGGTCTTGCATTTACTATATAATCTTCACAATGTTCCCATGGTCATGTGATCAAAATTTATGTGCTTGGCAGCTGACATGTATTAATCATAGCTGCAAGCATCCCAGAGTCATGGGATTACCATTTATGACCTTCCCAGCTGGCTTCCAACAAGGAGTCAATAGGGGAAGATGGATTTCACTTAATGACTGCCTGATCGTGGTGATTCATTTAATACTCACAGCAAAAAGAAGTTTATAAAATTGGGCATGACTCACTAACAACTGCCTAGCATAGCAAAGGAAGTTCTGGTTCCAGTTTGTGGAAGTTTGAGGTCATAAATTGAGGACTATATGCATATTAATCTATCCCTAGTAGCATAACACATCTGGGATATCCTGTATTTCATTATATTGTACAGTCAGACTCAAGTAGTTGTAATGTGAACATTCCAGAATCATAGCTCACAATCTTCTCTCAGCTCATCCTATTTCAAAGGATTGTTGCCATGGGGTTAAAAGAAAAGGAACAAGAAGAGAGACCTAGTCTATAAACTGCCTTGAACTCTCGGAAATAAGGGAGGGCATACAAAATGTGTGTATTTGTGTGCCTTTAAGTCAGTTTTGGACTGCTAGCAATTGCCTGCAGTTTCCTTCGCGAAGTTTTTTGGAAGTGGTTTGCCATTGCCTCCTTTTCTCACATTGCAATCCTGTTGGTGATGCTTTAATTCTGTACTTGTATCATGGCTTCTTATGCAACTCTGTAACACATGAATCATTATTTGCCTCCCTTGCATTCTGTTTTTGTTCTTGCAGAGGGAGTACAAACAATAAATTTCTCTGAAGTATTTTGGGATTATGCTTTGTTTCATTAAAAATAACCAAATTACATGTTTTTGGCAGGTTCACACTCATCCCCACATCTGTGATCTTAGGGCTGGGAGCAGCCCCCCTCTGGTCAGCAAAGTGCACTTATCTTACCACGGCTGGCAATTTATATGCTCAGAAAGTGGACAAAATTGGAAAATATATAGTTACCCAGTATTTTGGACTCTTCTTTTTAATATATCGATCCTCTGGAGTCTGGGGGAATCTAATAGCATCTCTGGTCTTTGACCAGACTCCTAATAAAGGTAATTATGTTTAAGTAGACATGTAGGACAGAAGACATAGGAAGCTTATATTATTTGTAAACAATATAGTGAGGAAGGAAATGTTTTAAGGCTTTAAAAATTCTTGTCCAGTATTACAGCCAACCTTTGTTCTCTTACTCTGCCTCTTGGGCTTGCAAATTACTGATTCCAGATATAGTTCATATATTGCCCTAAATTGGAACATAATTTGCTTGATTTTGGTTTAGCATATTCAATAATCCCATGCAATTTTGCACTAGTTTTACTAATCATCTGACTAAGTACCAGGCTGACTCTAACAAGTAATGTTTCTAGCATTTACACTAAAGAATCTATGGGTCTATGGGTTTATATTCTATGTTTTAATTGTTTTTATTTGAAGTTTGAATTAACCCTTTAATATAAGGATAATAGAAGCTAGATGGACTAGAAAAGTAGTCGGTTCTTTTAAGAAATTGTTTGGGACTGAATGTTACTAATTAAAATCACTGCTAATGAGGCAATTTGACAAAGTTGTATTCATAATGGATAAAATTCCCTAATTGACCAAGCATTACTATTAGGAACAAATCAGAAACTATTAGTGATACTCTTGAATGTTTCAAAAGATCATATTCATCTCAAAGGCACAGTTATTTTTTTTGGGGGGGGGGGGGGGGGGGGAGGAGGAATCACAAATAATTGTTCTATTTTATCATGTACATCAACCCATTAGCAAGTTCTTGATATAATTGCTTGAACTTCTGGCCACGGAAAGAAATTTAGAGAGAAGGACTTTGCAGCAAGAATGCACAAGAAAGGTTCCATAGGAATTCATTTCTTACAATAGAGTGAACAGGGGATTAGAATGGCCCCCAACCAGTGGTGGTATTCTACCAGTTTGGCTTGGTTCAGGCGAACCGGTAATAAAAAATGCTATTGTTTGGCCCGAACCGATAGTAAAAAAAAAACCTACTGGTTTGACCGAACCAGTATTTCTTTTTTTCCCCCTCCCTACAATCAGCTGTCCCGAGATCCCGCTCGCTGTCTTACTGCTTCGCCCAGGAGGCTTCCCTGAGGCCCAGGAGGCAAAAAAAACAGAGTGTGGGGGGGTTCTGTGTGCCCCCCTCTGTGCTCCGTTTTTTGCCTCCTGGGAGCAAAAATGGACTCCCACGAGGCTTCCCTGAGGCCCAGGAGGCAAAAAAATGGAGTGCGGGGGGGGGGGGAGGCTGCAAAAAAAAGAAGCCACGTCCACCCAGTCAGAGGTGGTATTCAGCAGGTTCTGACCATTTTGGGAGAATTGGTAGTGGAAATTTTGGGAAGTTCGGAGAACTTTGGAGAAATACCACCCGCCCCCATCTATTCTCTGCCTCCTGAGTTACAGCTGATCAGCTGGGTCTTCTTTTGTTGCCCTGCACAGGAAAACGGAGCTGGAATGCAGGTTAGTGGGGTGGGGTGGGAATTGACACTTTGCAGTATTCTTCCCCTGCCACGCCCACCAAGCCATGCCAAGCCACGCCCACAGAACCAGTAGTAGGAAAAATTGAATCTCGCCACTGCACCCAGTCATATGGCCACTCCCACCTAGCCACACCCACAGAACCGGTAGTAAAAATATTTGCATCCCTTGCCCCTAACCCTGTTAGCCTTTCATAAGGACCTAAAAACCTGGCTACGTTCTCATGCCTGGGGTGCTCAAGGTGTCAATGCCCCAGTTTCCGGGCTGTATTACTAATAGACCCAATATCTTGCTCCTATGTATATTTATTCTGGATTTTTAAAAATGTTTTTAGTATTTTAATTGTAATATACTTTTTTGAATTGTAAGCCACCCAGAGTCTTTGACTGGGATAGGTGGCTATAGAAATCAAATGAACGAATGAATGAAAAAACTCAAGAGAATATCATAGACCCCACGGATATTCCTTGGATTAGAAATAAAAACCCCAAGGAAGTTTAAATTTCTTTGAAACAAAGCTTGAAAGCTGATGACAAAAAAATCACAAGTGGATTGTATATTTGGCCTTCATTTGCATATATACCCTTCATTTTTGTCTGTATTTTGACCATTAATTTCCTTTTTATGTTTTTAATATATTAGCGAATCTCACAGAAGCAGATCTGTTGTGCTGTGGTACAGGCAGCTGCAAAGGAAACACCACAGATAGGACTGTGATGTCAAAAGGATCATCTAATACTTTGATCTATACTTTGATGGGAATCTACACAGGTAAGCCCTGTCCAGCATCTTTGCCATCTGATGAAGGAAAGTGTGCATAATTTGTATGTATAATGTGTCAGAGCACATTTTAAAGTTATATAATGCTGGACCTTACTAAAGTTAAGTTCTTGGTTTAGGTAGTGCTTTGATGGGAGATTATCTAGGACAGGGTTGTGTTTGACCTCGGGGTGCCAGGGTGGCATCCAGGATGCCATTGCAGCCAAAATGGAGCTCAAGAGCCTGTTTTCGCCAGCAGAGCACTCAGACCACCACAGGCACCCCCGATACAAGTGATATTAAGTTGGTCACGCCCACCCTGGCACCCTGAGGTCAAACACAACCCTGGTGTGTCCCTCAATGAAATCAAGTTTGACACCCCTGTCCTCGATAAGAAATTTAAACTTCCTTGGGGTTTTTATTTCTAATCCAAGGAATATCCGTGGGGTCTATGATATTCTCTTGAGTTTTTTCATTCATTCGTTCATTCGTTCGTTGGCAGGGAAAGGATACTGTAAAATCTCCAGTCATTTGCCAATTTTCCAAACTAGTCAAAATTTCCACTTACTAGTTCTCCAGAACTGGTCAGAACCTGCTGAATACCACCTCTGGACCTGAGGTCTCCAAACTTGGCAACTTTGTGGACTTCAACTCCCAGAATTTTCCAGCTAGCTATGCTATGCTATGCTATGCTGGCTGGAGAATTCTGGGAGTTGAAGTCCACAAGTCTTAAAGTTGCCAAGTTTGGGGACCCCTGCTATGGACCAAGTCTATAAGTAAAAGCTATAGGCCAAGTCCAACCATTTATTTGAAATGGTATAGGGTCTCCTGCTCAAGCAGGGGATTGGACTAGATGACCTCTGAAGTCTCTTCCAACTCTATTATTTCATGTTCTAAGTCAGTAAGTGGAACAAGTTGGAAGAATGCTGGAAAACCAACAGTTCAAGAAGAATATCCATAGGGTATAGGAATGTTTGATAGTTTAATTACAATATGAAGACCTCTGATATTTTTTTAAGTCTAGGAGGATTGGCTAGCCAGCAATGGTACACAGAGTTAATCTAGAATGACATTCCTACCTTTGCTTTCCAGTGGCTCATTACAAGGGACAGCTGTGCACAGATTCCATTAGGTTTCGATAAAGCTATAATACAAACCAACTTCTCACCTGGGTGTTCATTGCAACTAAAATAAAATATAAATGTGCATTTTCAGAAGGTTATTCCAAATGGTTGATCTTCCTGGTAAATCCTGGATAAGCTTTGTTCCTCAGCAAACAATTTGAAACCACTAGTATATAATTATTAAATGTTAATGCTATTTCTTGGTTAGCATACAATATGATTCAATTTAACTGTAGTTAATGCAGCATGGATTGGGGTATTTTTATTCCTATGTTGTGAGATCCACAGCCTGTGATAAGGGAGAGGGCTACACCCCCAAATCACTGAGTCGAATATTTTCAAATTTCAAATATTAGGGATCAAAATGTTGATATGCCATGCTTTGACTCTGAAGATAACGTTTTCCATTCAAAATATGAACAGAGAAATGGTAAATCTTACCAAATTCTGAATATTTTGTAGATCATTTCAATTCTTATATTCAATCCATTTGATTGCATTGAATTTACTTCAACTTCCATCAATATAATATAATATAAATTAACATTTGCGCTTTTAGCATAATGTCCCTTCACACGTAATTCAGAAAATACTATCATTGCAAGGAAATGGCTCAAAAAATATGCTCACCTGGAGTAGAAGCAATATTGACAAATATGTGATACTAATCTCAGTAAAACCTTTGATTTGACCTGGAATGGTAACAAATGTTTTAAGCAACAGCGGATTGTGGGGTTGTTGTTTTTCCTGCTAGCTGTCATAACACAAACATCACGGCTGAGCAAAAAGAATTGTGAAAAAAGGATGCCCCAAAAGTATTGCTCATTGAAATTAGTAGCACTTAATAAGCCAAGAAATATGACTTTATTATTAAACATCAATTTTTCCAAACACAATAATATACCCTGTTAATTCAAAAACTTCCTTTCATTTCTCAGCTAGTGAGATTCTAGCTGTGTTGCTAGTGTCTATATTTCTGGATCAAATCTCAACCAACCAAGCAGAGAGTGAAGAAAGGTCTGTGTCACCCTTTAAATCCAATTTTCTGGAAACATTTCAACATCTTAAAGATAAACGCCAGTGTCTCTTGATACCCTTGACTATGTATAGTGGACTTGAGCAAGGATTCTTGGCTGGTGACTATAATAAGGTAGGTTATAAAATATAGCTTTATCTACATCTATTTCAGGTGCTAAGTGAAAAAGGAGCAGAATACCCAGCATAGACTCTGTCTTAAGGGATAGATAGATAGATAGATAGATAGATAGATAGATAGATGGATGGATGGATGGATGGATGGATGGATGGATGGATGGATGGATGGATAGATAGATAGATAGATAGATAGATAGATAGATAGATAGATAGATAGATAGATAGATAGATAGATAGATAGACAGATTCATTCATTCACTCATTCATTCATTCACTCATTCATTCATTCATTCATTCATTGTTTGCCCATCTCAGCAAACAACTCTGGGCAGCTCACAATTCAAAACACATTACAATTAAAATTTGAAAAACGTCATAGAACAGTAAAACCAATTAAAAATGTTAAAACAGTAAAAGATATTAAAACATTTGAGTACATACAAAAACAAGACATCTGTCCCATTAACAATATAGTGAGGAGGCAGAACCCTTGATGCATGTAGTACTCCAAGCTCAGAAGCATAGCCAGGATTTTATATTCCAGTTGCATCAGAATTAAAACTTTCAGAACTCCACGTCAGTATGTCCAAAGAATTCCATCTTTGCTAAGAATTCCAGTGTGTTGAAATGACTGGTTTTATTTTTATTTTATTTTTTAATTACATTTATATGGCCACCGGTGGAATCCTGAGTACTGAACAAACATGAAGACTTAATATAGAACAATTAAAAAAACAAGTTGAGGCACCTATATTAAAAAAACCTCATTGTCAACATGTTACACATACAAATGCCAGAGTTCCATTAGTATCCAGTTCCAATGCTGGTGGGGAAAGCCAAGTCTTTACAACCTTCCAGAAAGCTAAAAGGGGTGGGTCTGTCCAGGGTGAGGCTGTTCCGTAAGGCAGGCACCATGAGAGAGAAGACACACTTCCCAGAACCTACCAGATGACACCGTTTCATCAAGGAGACCCTGAACATGTTACCTCTGTTAGATTGCTGGAACAGGCAGAAGCCAAAGGGATAGGCTATCAAGCAATTACAACACACCTGGAGGATACTACTTTGAGAATGAGTAGTTTATGTCTTTTCAACTCCAGGTCCAGTTTTCACTTGTTTTTGTGTTTAAGAACAGCTGCAGTAACTGATCAAAGTTCTAGCTGTCTACCCATATTGCACAGCAGCTGCACACAGCATTTAAAGGCTCGATAGCAGACAGAGAATAGTGCCTTATTGATCATGTAGGTGTTGCATGAATATTCAGCACCAGCAAAGAAGAAAATTGAAGCTGTTGCTCTGTATAACAAAATAACCATGGGCACCTTGCTCTTTCTCCCTTCCTTTCCAGTCCTATGTGACCTGTGCTCTTGGGATAAACTTTGTTGGATATGTGATGATCTGCTTTTCAGCTACAAATTCACTTGCCTCCTTGCTGTTTGGCAAGATTTACCAATTCACCGGTAGAAAGGTTCTCTTTACATTGGGTAGGTAAAGGCTAACTGGGTGCTTGTCTACTGGGATGGCCTGGGTGGATTTGGCTTGAGCTTTGAGGAATAGGATACAAGTTGAGCAATTGTGCAAGAACATAATCTAGAGAACTTTCCATCACTAGCAAGATGACAAAGCAACAGTCCTCATAGTTATATAAATATATTTGCTGAATCGGTAACTTTATGGAAAAATTCTCCAAGGGTACCAGAATTCTAATTCACTGTAATTCCAAGAGTTCTCAGAAAAACGGCTGTAGGTAAAGGAGCGGAAGGTTTCCAACTTGGAGAAGATGTTCTGGAAATCACCTGATCTATGGGCTTCATGAAATTTTGATCCAGCTTATTAATTTCAATATATGACCTCATATCAAGTCTGGTACTCTTTTTATAACATATTTATATAGGTAGTATTTTTTTTTTTACCAAAAAAATGGTCTTAGGCAGGGATGTCAAACTCACGTTGTCATGGCAGCATCACATGATGTATCGAGACTTTTTTTCCCCTTCGCTAAACTGGGCGGGGACAGGGCCAGCATGTGACTCATCTGTGGGCTGCGAGTATGACACCCCTAGTCGAAGGGCTGTGCATACTTTGAAAATGTTTTGGAACAATTGCTTTAGATCTTACACAAATGTGCCTATTTTGCTATTCATTGGAATAGCCTTGGGAAAAGGAGGCTGCTGCTTTAAAGGCATATTACAGCAGCAGCATCTTTTTAGAGGCTAATATGGCAGCTTGAGAAAAGGATGCCTGAATGAGAGAGGTCAAGTGATATATGGAGTACTTGTTCTCCACATATCATAGAGCATATGGATATATATCATAGAACTATAGAGAGGAAGATACCATAGAGGTGATGCAGACCAGCATCTGGCTCAGTGCAAGATTCCCAACAGCAGGGGTGTCAAACTCGTGGCGTCACATAGTTATTACATGACATGTCGCAACTTTTTTCCCTTTTGCTAAATCAGGGGTAAGGGTGGCCAGCACATGACACATCTGGCCCACAGGCCATGAGTTTGACACCCCTTCCTACCATATATCTAGTAGATGATCATCCACCTTGTGTGGAAAACCTTTAGCAAATGAGAACTTGCCACATAATGTGGCAGCCTTTTCTACTGCCTAATACTTCATACAATCAAGAGAGTCTTCCTAATGTCTAGTTTAAGCCACCTCCCTTAGTTTTAATCCACTGGTCCTAGTCCTGCCCTTTTTGGCAATAGAAAATATAGCTGCCAAGGTTGAGAAATGTGACCTTCATTGTTTTCTTGTCTGGACCAATCCTACTTCTTTCTTCCAGAGTTTACTGGGTGCTAAAAAGGAAGCTGTAGGTAAGATGCATTTTGGGTCCTACAAAGCCAAGCAGTTCTTAAATTCATGAAGTGTGAATTGGAATGTGCTTTACTGTTTTCTCATGATCTTTGCCTCATTCAACAGGTGCCATTCTCTATCTCAGCTGCATAATAGCGCTATTGCTCTGGAAACCTCACTCAAACCAACTTGCCCTATTTTTTATAATACCTGCCATCTGGGGTGTAGCAGATGCTATCTTGCAAACACTAACCAATGGTAAGCATTTATAGTGAGAGAAGGCCAGCAGAAAAATGAAATGGGACTGTAGGCTTTATGCGAAGGAGATTAAAAACAGCAACTATATTAGCCTTACTGGAAAGGGCCTCCTCACCATGAACTGTTGGATTGATCTATGTGATGTTCGTGGGTGGCCATTTAGGCCTGTCCTTCTGTGCATAATGATTAACACTCTATTTCTATGCAAATTTGATGATTTAAAAAAAAATCTGCAGGAACATCCACCTACATTTCTGGGTCCATAAAAATGTATACAATTTCTTGAACATACATAGTTGCATTTTCCCTTAATACGTGCCTTTTAATGCAATGCTTTTTACAGAGCATGCTTTTTTTTCATCTTTTCCATTTCAGAAGGAAAAAAATATATTGTAAAATTCTAAAAAAGCGGGGGTGGAAATCTGAAAAATTTCATATTGCAGTTTGGATTATCAGAGTGTTGGATACGTCAGTTCCCTTTAAAATAATGAACTGAGTAAACTTCATCCCAAGCCCATAAAATTATTTGATCCCTGAGGATTGTTAAAACTTAGCAACACTTAATACATTTATCTTAAGAGGCAATGTATTCTGCATACCCCATCTAGAATTTCACTGCCAGGGAGCGGCCTGGCATCAGTCAACCTAAGTAAGACCCTTTGAAGGAGGTGTTTTTTTTTTACTGTTTGCCACCTTGAAGTTCTGCACCACCCGGCAACCAGACTTGTTTAGGTTTCATTCAAAGACCTTTGTGTGTTTCTGTTTGCCTTTCCAATTCTGAGAAATGGTAAGCTCAAATTACTAAACTAACACTACAAAAGGAGAGGGAAAGAACAAGAAAATTAAGAAAGATCATTGGCAAAGTATTATAATGTGTGTAACTTAACAGCCTATTTTACTTCTGTTAATTTTTACAACCAGTTTGAAAGCTATGGATGAAGATTTATTTTTATTTATCATTCACATTGACAAATAGTATCCAGCAGACCTTAGCTGATCTCAGAAGCTAAGAAAGATTAAACCTGATTAATAATTAGAGACAAATTGCCTGGGATTCCCAGAATTGTAGGTTGGGCAGAACTTTTTTTAAAGTAAGGTGAAGCTCTGAAGAAAACAATGGCAAATTATATATACTGCTCCAAATCATCACATAGATAACTTAAGGGCATCCTTATGGTTGTTTATTCCGCTACCAGTTCTCCAGAACTGGTCAGAACCTGCTGAATACCACCTCTGTTTATAGTGTACCTACTAAACAAACTTTTTTAAAGGGAGGCAGCTTAAAACCAGAACGTATTTAAAATTACTATTTGCATAAATGTGCATGTCTTAATATAATTAAATAAAATGTTACATATGAAGAATTAACAGTTTATAAAATAAACTGTCGAGTAGAAAACATCTTAAAGAATTTATTGTAAAGGATAAAGGGAGCGGGGAAGAGAGATGATTTGTGTGTATTTATGAAGTTCTCTTTGTGGGATTATTTTGCTTAGCAGCGTCTGGGCTATTTAAAAAAAAACCTTACATATTTTCTTTTTCATTTCTGGGAGACATCCCAACATCAATCTAAGAATAAAACTTAAGTTCTTAGATTGTACATCAGGTTCTATAGGATATAATGGTTAATATGATGGGTCAAGTCCACCCTTACCTTACTTCACTCATTTTATGCCAGTTAATCCCTCAACTACCTCAGAGGAAGTGGTTGCAGCCAGAAATTAGCAGATGAAGGCTATGAGTTCTCCCTTGAGCTTCTTAATTATCTAAACCAGTCTTTCTCAATCTTGGCCACTTGAGGATGGGTGGACTTCAACTAGTCAAGGTTGAGAAACACTGATCTGAATTATCTAGTGGCTACATGAATTCATGCTAAGTAATGTTCATTGGGCACTGGTGTTATAAAAGGCTGCATACCACCTGAAGAATCTAATGTCTGTTCCTGTAGTCTCTGTAAAAGACCCTTGCATGCTCAGAAGTTCTTTTTCTTTCACAGAGTAGTTAAATGCTAGAGCCAGGCTTTAGGATTGCAGATATTGTTCACATACCAACTGCAATTGAGACCAGGGTGACTCTGCTGACTTACAGTATCTGTTCCAGTTGTGGTCATTAAGCAAATCACTGCAGGTGATTAAGTGCAACCTCAGATAACTGGGTCTTCTTGCAAGTTTTCTCATTGGCTCTGCTTGTCAGAAGTCAGCGGTGAATGTCACAAATGGCAATCACATGACAGGACAATGCGAATATCCTAAATTCGCAACAATTGCAAAGGGCCCAAATCACAATGACATGATCATAGGGATGCTATAATGGCCACAATTTTGAGGACCAGTCATATGTGTCCTTTTTCAGTGTTGTCATCACTTCAAACAGTTGCTGAATGAGTGATTAGTAAGCAAGGACTCTCTCTCTCTTTCTCTTTCTTTTATATCTATATCTATACCCTATCTATCTATCTATCTATCTATCTATCTATCTATCTATCTATCTA